AGTCATACGTCGTTCCGTTTTTCTATTTGGTGAAATAACTTAAATATACAAGTTAAGTACTTACCTTCTTCTCAAAAAGTGTCCGGATTTTGTTGTTTGTTAACTACTCCTTATGTAATAAAGCTTTTTCAAAATTTTTTTTTTGTTGACATATGGTACAAATTTGAGCGCCATCTGTCAATTACTTTGTTTACAGCAGCTATTAATGTGAGACTACCTCAAGTGCATTTAGCGATTTTTCTATTGAAAATTCTTGTTGTACGCGATTTTTTGACCAAATACGGCATCACTGTCATCGCTCAGGCGCCATATTCGCCAGATCTGGATCTATGCGACTTTTTCCTGTTCCCGAAACTAAAATTGCCCTTTCGTGGTAAGCGTTTTGAGTCGATTGAATCGGTAAAAGAAAGTTCGCTGAAGGAACTAAAAATCATACCTTCACGGGCCTACGAAATGTGTATGGAAGATTGGGTTAAGCGTTGGCATATGTGTATCGCTTCAGAAGGAGTATATTTTGAAGGAAATAAAATAAATTTGGAATAAAATTTAAATTTGTGTTTTATTTACGGAATCCGAGTACTTTTTGAGCAGAAGGTATGTACATTTAACGAAGTATAATTCGGCTGCTGGTAGAACTGTACGTCGCTCGGACGCCGAGATAATGTCTGGAAACTATACTTTCGAATCTGTAAAGGATTTCATCTACGTTGGCACCACTGTAACGAACAACAACAATGTCAGGCAAGAGATTAGACGAAGAATCACCATTGTCAATAGGTGCTACTATGGGCTCAATAGACAATTGGGATATACAACTTTTTGTCTTGTCGACAAACAAAATTTACACTCATGGTTGCTTATCCAACCTGTTCTTCTTTATAGCGCAGAAGTGTGGATGTTACAACAAAATTATGAAGCAGCACTCGAAACAAAAGCTCTTCGTAAGATCTTGGCGACGACTACCGCATACGAATGAGCCAAGAGCATAACGAGCTTTATCCCGACATTGATATAATTCAGCGAATTAACAGTTCAAGCTATTTAATATTTCAAGTCATCATGTAATAAATAAATATTCTTATTGCCATATGAATAATAATTTGTATATTTCCAAAACCTATTATTATTTATGAAAATATTCTTAATAATGAAAATAATAAAGCAAATAAAACAAAAAAGGGCTGATTTTTCTAAAATTCCAAATAGTTCCTACAATCCATAGTGCGGGACCTTTACTAGACTGACCCTTTCTCATAGTGCTTTAAAAACATTATAAATAATTATGAGCAGCTACCCAACATTATTAACTTGCAATTCTATTCTAAGTGATATTGTTCAAAATATGCGATTTATTCAGATTAAACTAGAAGATTGTGCTACTCTATCTCGAATTTATTAGTTAACTTTATGTATCTGAGAATTTCGGATAAATAACAAATGCTCAGGAACGAAATTAGTGCTCAAGCCACCATCAACTAACATTCTTAATTCAGCTTAAATAACTGAATTGTGAATCTTCCAGCTAGTTATCCACATAGCTATCCCCATAACAAAATCAACTTACTTGATCTATCAGGACACAAACTCACGATGTTCATGTGGAGTCTACTTATGCTGTGCACTTACCCTATGATGACCACGATTAATATCTTACAAGTTTTTATCTTCAATTGTAAAGGATTACATTAGTTTTTTATCAAATTCCTTTATAAACTTTTTCATTGTTCATTATTCTTAGATCAATCATTGAATAATCTTGAAGATTATACGGAATACGCAAATTAGTCAGTGAGATGGGTGGGACTGTGCAAAAACCCCCCAGCTATCATAGAGTAAAAGTGCCCAGATGCACTAACTCGAAAAAGGCTCAGCACAGCATTATTCTTTTATGTTATTGTCATTAAGGCGTTTTTGTTTTTACACTCCTTCTTCACTTCTTCTTTCCTAAAAAGAAATGGAATCAAATAAATTAATGACAGTTTTTGATAGGTGCCTTCAAAGCCTCTTTTTGTATTGAATTCGTTTATTCACTGTAGGCGAATATTTTTATATTGAATACGTATGTTTAGTGTAGGAAATTTACAGCAGTTACTTTTCAAGTCTCTATTTTGATTCATCTACTTTTGTGAACATAACCCAAATAGTCAATAATCCTGCACACGAGCTGAACTGTCGTCTAAACTTGGTTCTATCTTAGGAGAGTCTTTATTGATCATGCATATTTATGACATTGCTTACTATTGGAGATAATGTGAAGACTTGATATCACTCACAACAACATAATATTAAAAAAATTCAGTAAAACAAATGTTACCTCATTTCATTCTTTCCGATGTGACTAAATTGTTAACTATGTTTTTATAGTTCATTATTACTGCATTTCTTTATTTCAGAGTTTCCTTCACTCCGATTTGAATTATATTAAACTTTAAACTATGTTTTCCTAGTTCTGTTTATCTTTAAATACCGCTTTGTTTCCTTAACTCCGATTTGGATTTCATGGAACCTTATTCTATATGTTTATAACTCTTTCGGGAATATATAATGAATCCTAATCCCATTCCCTTGCTTTCTTAAAATGAAATTACTTATACGTTCCTCGTTTCCATATGCGATAAACGTTATTAGACTTACCAACTTTCCACAGAACCTTCATAAAACGATGTTAGAGTATTTGAAATCCTTTTAATGTCGCGAATGCCATTGTTTTTAGCATTTTGCTATGTTGGCAGAATTGTTGGTTAATGTCATGAAAATGCATAAAAAGTGGGTGGATTGTTTGGCGAGAGGAAACTGCATTCGTTTGGATTAGTTTTTAGTGCAACAGTTTTCCTTTTTATTTTTATGTGCGAGCAGAAGGGATTAAAATGGGAAATGATTATTGTTGACAGTTGAGGTTGTTTGAGCTTCACACTTCCCTATACAAACATGTGGATAAAATACAGTACAGCCAATACCTTTCCGGCACACATGACACGGAGAAAATCGCATAAAGTGCGCCTCTTACTTTGTGTGATTTAGAAAAAAGCTTTTAAGCTCTGCTACAAAAATTGTTTGCATTAAAAACGCCTTTCTTAAGTATGCACCATGGCAACCCTAAGCACCAAACAGCTGCACTTTTTATCAAAAACATCAAAAAATAAATAAAAAAATATTATTTATTCTGTTATTTCAAATACTTTATTTTGTTGTTTCAAATATTTATTAAAAAAAAAAAAGATAAATTTTTTATTTTACATACCCGATGGGTGGCCAGCACTAATAACGTTCTCTTGTTAAAATATTTTGTGCGCTAAATACACGGATTAAGTAGCAACAATCTTTGGCTCATATCTGTTAGTCTATTTAGCTCGGCGAGAAATGAAATAAAATGCTCGTAATGATGTTTATAATCTTTGAACTTCGTTGTTTTGAGTTAATTTATATTCATAAACCAAATTGGTGTACAATTACCGTCCAATTATATCTACGGTACAGCATAAGTGGGCTGTGGGTGGCTGCTTTCCATATTAGGATGACATGCTTTTGTACATATTGTCTTCGTTCTTTTATCTTTATCCCTGTGGGGAGTATTATTTGCTCGCCTTTTGTCTTTATATTCGACAACCGAGTTTTCTATTTTCTATTTTCATTTTTGTTTTTTTTTTCTTTTGCAAGTGACTTGACAGTTTGTAGAGATTGTTTTTGTTGTTGTTGTTGTTTTTATAGTAGTTCTTTTTTCGAAAGTCACGAGAGGGGCGATTTTTTGGCGCCTCTCTATACGGCGTCACTCATGTCATAGCATGTCACCTATTTTCAGACATTTTGCCTGTGGCGGTATACGGCTGATTGCCTGCCATACTCCATACTTCATACTCCACTCGCCATTTGCCATTTGCCACTCGTTTCTCGCTACTCGCTGCTCGCTGCTTTCCATTTACCATTTACCATTCACCATTTGCCACTTGCCGCTTGCCGCTTGCCACTTGCCACTTTCCACTTGCCGCTGTGTATTACTGCTCTTTTCTAATGAAAATCTGTTAAGTCAGCCGCATTTTTGGCGCCAGACATATTTTAACCAGCTGTGTGTACTTCTATACAGTTCAACAAGTTAAAGTATTTTTGTTTATAAATTGGTAAAGTTCTAAAGCAGAATACTGGAGCACGTTGTGGTGGAAATATTTAATAGCTACCCACACACAATCCCTCGTTTTAATTTTCACATCATTCTTATTATCATCATAATGTAGTTCCTAATGCTGCTCTTGTTCTCTTGTTGCTCTTGTTGTTGTTTGTGCTCCATTTAAATTAAATTTATTCAAAACGCGTGTCTGCTTAAGCTCGGCAATAATTTCGGTTTCAATTTAAAGACTTCTGTAGTAAAATTATTCCAACCCTTGGTTAAGTTGTTTGTATGGTATGTTACTTCTTAAGTCAGACCAAAGACACTGACACTACATACTATACAAACAATCACTTCTTTATGACTACTTGCTTTGAAACTATTTGATATTATCACTTTATTAAATATAATTTTATGTGAAATTCTTAAGGGGGTTTCCGGTTGCTGAGTTTCCATTTTAAATAAGGTCATATTAAAGAAAATCCTTTAAGAAAAACAACCAAAAGAAAAGTAAAAATTCCATATGGACTAACTGACTTTACTGTCGCAGATCCTCTGTTGCATATTTTAAGTAAATTATTTTTGAAGCGTAAATTTAATAAAAAAATAAATATTATGTAGAAAAGTTTTTCCTATATTTATTCAAATTGGAAATAACAAACTTTTTGCCTTTACGCATACTCGTCGTAGCTCATTTGTGGCATTATTGCTCACTTCATGTTTATTTAACCCGTACAAATCACCTTAAGGCCATCAGTTCTTTACTTTAACTTTGCTGTTTATGTTAAACCCAAGGGGTTCCGGGCAAATATATTAACTGCGGTACATTATGAATTCTATTTCTCTTTATTAGCATCATTTCCTGCATTGATTTTCAATGCGCAAATATTGTACTCCTTCGATTGTATATTCCTTCGATACCAGCATAGCCAAGAGAAGTCGTCTTTCGTTTGTTTAATATGAGTTTTCTTTGAAACAAACTGCATAAAAATTTAATTGCTTTCATGCTTTTTTACCATCTAGCAGATATATAAAATTTAATATATGAGATATGAACTAAAATACGAGTACTATACACAACATATCAACTGATTTTAAAATAAAATTTCTTTTCAGAAGTAAAATTCAGATAAGCACATTTTAAAGGATTTTATTTAAAGAAAATGTTCATTTTTTATTTATTCATTTAAAGTAAGAAAATATGATTAACAGTAATTCAATATGAGAACCCTGGTAGTTAGACCTTTTCAACTTATGTTATCATACATTATAGTTTATTTATTCATTTAAAGTAAGAAAATATGATTAACAGTAATTCAATATGAGAACCCTGGTAGTTAGACCTTTTCAACTTATGTTATCTTGAATGATATGTAATACATATATAAAGAATTTATTTTAAAAAAATATTCATTATTTATTTATTTATTTATTTATTCATTTAAAGTAAGAAAATATGATTAACAGTAATTCAATATGAGAACCCTGGTAGTTAGACCTTTTCAACTTATGTTATCTGGAATGATATGGAATACGTATATATAGTACATGTATACAAAAGTAGTATTCCTTTTGTTTCTTGGTACGCTGAGGAGAATTTTTTTTGAACACTTTAAAATTACTATGACAATAATAACGGTAAAGAATAATTTGCAGAAAACCTTATGTTATGTATAGCTTTAACATATTTTAAGATTTTGAAAATGTATAATCCAAACCACTAAAACTACATTTAATTGTGTAGAATTTAAAGCTAAACACTTAACCTCTAACTTTACGAATAGATTTCTAGTTTCAAGTTAGTTTTGACCCCTTCTGTATTCGCTAGGTCATCTAGACAGACTTCTAGTAGAGTAATACCAAAGAAGGCTGTAAATCATTTTAAATATCTTATATTGCTTAATCTACATTCGGTTAATGTTGGTAATAGAAGTACTACCATTCTGGCAAACCATAGAAATTTTTAAAATATAATTGAGCCCTGCAAATTTTCAGATGCTTTACAGATGCTTTAAGAAGAGACACCGGAGCACCAGTTATGTCTATGTCCAGGTTTGCTCAAAACCAGACAAAAGCTATTAGGCGGTCCATTCTCAAGCTTAAACTACTCGAGTTCAATATCGTAACTAGCTCAAATTTCAATTTCTTACCTCTTCTAAATATACTTCACTTCCACCAAAAATGTCTGTAATATATCAAAATGAGATTCATAGAAGAATGGATAATGATTTCAATGCTGTGTTTCTTTCTTTTCTTGTATTTCTTGGTTTTAATGGGTTGAACTTGTACTTATAGAAAAATATAAATAAATATGTGATACTTTCTTCCAATAACAAGTACTGTTTTTTAATACAAAGTATCGGAAAGAATGATCAATAGTAAAAATACGTGTTATCTAAAAGTACTAAGTACTTTTCTTTGGACCCCATTATTTGGCATCATAAAGAGGTATCGATTACGGAAGCTCGTGTTATCGATAAGTATTAAGTATAAGTATTAAATATTTACTTGTGTCGTAACATTCTTTTTACATTTAGAGCTAATTTAATTTTCCACTTAAATGTCATGTTTAGTCCTAAGAAGCAAAGTCTTTGCAAATTTGAAGAAATTGTGCCTGTTAATGTAGTACTGGATATCATTATTTAGCAAATATTGATTATAGAAAAATTAAGTCAACTGCAAG